AACATGCAGTGTGTCCACGGCTGGCGGGACTGGCAGCCCGTCCTGTGGCCGCATCCGTGGCAACCAGCCGGCTTCCTTCTCCTTTTCCTGCCTGTGAGGGGGAACAGCTGGGCCTGGAGCCTGGCATTCTGTCTGCGGGCTCCTGCTTGCCTTTCCTAAGGCATGTTGCAAGTGGTTTTCTGTCGTGGAATCTGAGGAGGGAGGAGGCTTGGAATGCAGGAGTGACTCATCGCAGGGTTTGCGCTGTGCAGGGTGACACCCCACAGCCCCCATCCATACCGTCTCTCCCTCACAGGCCGTCACGGGAAGTGCAGCAATTCCATCTCTGTGAGGGCGTTTCTAGATGAAGATGACGACATGAGCTTGGAAGAGATCAAAAACCGGCAAAACACAGCCCGAAACAACGCCCAGCCCACGGTGGCTGCTTTTGGAGACTCGGGGTGTGACATCCTTCCCTTGGAGCAGAAGACAGACCTCATAGAAGCCTCAGCCCCGACCAGTCCCCGCAGCAGCAAAAATGGGTTTTGCAGCCCCCCGAGTGACAGCAAGACCCTGGGTGGGAAGAGGCCAAAGGCCCCAAGTGGGGAGGATGCCTTCCTGTCACCTGTCTCCGGCTTGACTGTGGAGTTTGATAAACTGAATTTGCAGAATCTACAAAGTAGCTTTTCTAACAAGACACCCCGTCCAACTGTGAAAACTAGAGATAAGAGGATCCTGACATCAAGAGTGAACACAGCAGAAAGTGACATGTTAGGACCTCTTGCTGCTGACAAACTCGGGAATGACCAAGGAAGGACAGAGCACGGAATGTCAGCTGGAATGGCTGACATGTGCCTGGACCCCGACAGTCCCACACAAGAGGCCCGTCACGGTGGCAGTTCTGAGCCCTCGGGGGTCCCTGCCTCGAAGGAGTCCGTCCAGAGCCTCTTCCTTTTTGGGTATGAGTCGGGAAGCACACACACATGTCGAGGGGCAGTGGGCACGGGCGCCACTGTGTGATTCCCGGACGGTTCCGTCCACCCTGGCCTGCCTGACGGGCACTTGTGGTTCTGTCTCCCTCGCGAGTCTATATGGCTCCTCGGGTGTCCTCCAGGCCGGTGGGAGACAGCGGTCTCCTTGCTCACTCGTCCTTGCAGCCGCTGTGCTTCCCACAATCACTGAGCTGTCCTGTGGGTTTAGTTTGTTTTTGGAAGAGAGGTCGTCTTGGGGTCGGTCTCAGTTGCCCGGCCGATGGCCCGTCCCACCTTCTGCTCCATCATCCTGGAGGGGGTACGCAGAGCGCATCTTCCCAGCAGGGCCGGGGCCGGGGTCTCCTCCCGCGGGCAGTGCGTCCCCCCGCTGCCTGGATGTCGGCCGGACCGCCGGAGCCTGCGGTGGGGGTGCTGGGCCCTCACACACGCCTCTGTTGCTCTGCTGGTTCTGAAGGGGGCGGTGGCGCCGGGTGCGTGTGTGGTCACGGCTGTTCTGCTTCTCTCGCACCTTCTAGAGAAGAGCCGTCAAAACTGGATCGCGATGTTCTGGCAGCCCTGGAGTGTGCGGACGTGGACCCTCACCAGTACCCGGCCCTGCACAGGTGGAGGAGTGCCGTGCTGCGCTACTCGCCCGCGGACAGACAGAGGTACCCGCGGCCCGGCGGACGGTGTCGCCAGGTTCACGGGGGAGCTCCCCGCCCTGTGGCCGGGGGTGGCGGAGCAGAAGGGGTGCTGCTGGGAGCTGAGGGGGGTGGGGCGGGCAGCCAGGGTTCCGTTCAGGTCCCGCGCCCCTCGTGCGGGACGCAGTAGTGTGAGCTCGCAGTCACGTGGGAGGCACCTCCTCCCGGAGCCCCAGCGGTCCCCCGGGTCTGTGGCCTCCGCTCTCCCCACCCCGCCCCGCCGTCCCTGCTGACCGCCCGTTCTCGGTTTCCTCAGCTGGCCCAGCCCCTCGCTGAAAGGGAAGGTGAAGTCTCAGCTGCTGGACATCGGTGGCCCTCCTAGCGGCGGCAGCCCCGGGCGCTACAGCCCCGCTCGCAGGGGCCACCTCCACCGGATGGCGCGCCTGGCCCAGCTCGCCGCCTTGTAGGGCCCGTGCGCGCTGCTGGGGCTGTCAGCTTGTTCTTTGGGTTTAAAAAAAAAAAAAGGAAAAAAGGAACAAGGAAAGGTAATGTGTTTATTGCTAAAGTTTCACCCAAAGAAAGAATATCAGTCCTCATTTAGAGGGTAAAAGAATTTTAGAAGATGCAGGTGTCCTGTATAAAATGTCGCTTTCTGATATTTGGAGAGAAGTGGGTGAAAGCAAACTCAGACGCAGATTTCCCGGAAACCGTCAGTGTGGTGGCGACAGGCTCCAGTTAGCTGCCCCAGGGGCACAGGAGGGCGCCAGAGAGGCCGGGGCGCCCCGCGGGCCCCCGTCCCCCGAGAGTAGCTGCACTCACTTCAGCTCTGTTCCTAAAACACAGGTGACTTTTGTGCCTCTTCCTTTCCTGGGGAGGGTCTTTGACTTCCTGGCTCGTGACAGAAAAGCCTCTCTGCTTTGCTGGTCAGCCCCGCTGGTTAGACAGTGGCGAGGTGGGCATCCAGGAGTGAACGAGCCTTCAACGTGTTGGAGACTTGCAGCGACACTTACAAGTTGAGTCATTTAAGTGAGTGACCAGAGGATGAAACTAGCTTTTCTCTTGGAAAAAATCTAGCCGTTGGGAGCCATGCAAATAGTCACACACAGCTCCCTCACCAGCAGTCACTGGAAGGTGATTTCCTTTTCACCAGCACTTGACCTTCACAGTGCACCTTATTTAGCTGCCAGTGCAGTGGTAATAAAATAATCTGAAAGGCTTTGCCTAGTTTCGAAATGTACCCCATATTTTAGAACACATTTCAGTTGGATTTGCTTTATGAAAGAGCATTGCGTTTTGGTACAGAAAAGAAAGGTTTACTTTGGAGGACGTATCTGATCCCAGCTCCGTTCCTTTAGTGCAGTTTGTCGTCCCTCCCCCTTGGCTGTACCTGCTGGAGGGTCTGTGCGCACAGAGCTTTCTGTGCCAGGACGCTGCAGCCGAGCTGAGGGCTGTTTCTCTGGGTGTCACCGACGACTGCTCACAGCGGTGTTCTGGGGACACTGCCAGTGTTTTATCCAAAGTGAAAACTTCTAACGCTTCTGCGGAGTTCAGTGCCTTTTGTAAATCACTTTTGGTTTTCCCGAACTTACTTTTTGAGAATATACAGTGATAGGAAGTAGACGTGAGATTTTTTAGTTGTAAATATTCTGAATTTAAATTTATGTTAAAAAAAAAAAACAGAAACTTATTTCTTTCACACGATAACGAGAGGCAGGTCAGGAATATTGGAACCAAGATTTGGATTTTAAAATTCAAAAGGTTGTTACACAGGGTGTTTTCACTTGTGTAGCAGACGACTTAAGTGTAAGACAGAAAAATACATTCTGTTCTAAAAACCAAATGGCATTTTTAAGACATCTCTATTCTCAAAGAAATCAGAACACAGATGTAGTCATGGTGATGATCTGTTTTGTCTAAAATTTGACCGTGCCGTCCTATATATTTTTGTAAATATTCAGATGGAAGCTAAAGTGATTTGCCCGTATTTTGCAGACTTCTGCTCCTGTTTTCTGAAGTTTAGGCCGCCTTTGACTGTTTCTCCATTTGTTTGTATAAGTTGGCCCCGGTTCCACTGAATGCATAGTCATGTGTCCTGGGGTGATGTTGTCTTTTTAAAACTACTTAATGAAATAAATTATTTTTAAAACCATGTGGTCATCATTCTGAGCTTTCAGGAAGACCTCTCTCGCCTGGGCCCAGGCAAAGTGTCCTTTTTAGCAAACTTTGAAGCAGTGTTTTGGTTAAACAGAACATGGATCTGAGAGTGGTTTATCTGCTGTTTGGGGCCCTTTCCTTCCTAACAACACGGTTGTGAAAAACTTTGGCATCAGTTCAACTATCGAATATTTTATAACTGCCCTGGGAAATGGGGAGCCTTTTTCTGTGACATTGACAGTGTGCCGTTTCTTCAGTTGGGAAGAGGTGACAGGAACCCTCTGAGCGGGGGGCAGCGGCTAAGGTGCCACGGGCTGCATGCAGGCGGCTCCGGAAGGTTCCCCGCTCCTGGATCCAGACGGTCCGGACCCTCTGGGATAGTGTTTGGATGTTTCCAGAGGCATTTGCAGCTCAGAGGGAACAGCCGTGGGGTGACTGCCTCGTCAGGCGTCCCCAGCCGGGTTTGCCCCCCCAGGGTGCTGGAACCATGCAGGTCTGTGTGCGCGCAAGGCCCGCAGGGAGGGGTTTCTTCTTACACGTGCCCTCGGCCTCCTTCCTCAGCCGTCTCGAAAGAAAATATTTTGGAACAAACAGCAACGCGGTCAGTAGGAAACCACTACCGTTCCCACTGCTGTCAGCTCAGGATCCCTCCTGTCACACGGGCTCTTGGGGTGGTTTTCCACCTTGGTCACGCTTAGGATGACGTTCCCGACGTTTCAGAAGTTCTCGGTCATCTGTCCTACCTCGGGGCGGTTTCCAGTGCGACCTCCCTGGGCCCCTGTAACTAACTGACCCCGTCCAAACAAACACCACTGTCCTGCTCCTGGGCTCCTTTCCCGTTTCTAAAATGCTGCCTTGCTTCTCAAAGGTCAAGTGTAAAGGGTGGCCGCGCAAGCCCGAGGGTCCAGGGGCCCAGGGCTCGGCCGCGGGGCCTCACAGCGCCCGAGGCCAGACACGTGGTGCCGCCTCTGGCTTTTCTGGTCTCAGGCGTTAGCACAGCCCCTGGATAACTTGTCTGAACTATTTCGACAGAATGGTGTGTGCTTGCTGCTTTTACTTACCGAGCTCACTGTCGTGGGCCAGGGCCTCTCACTGAGGCCCCTGGTGGGCAGACACCCTGCAAAACTGTCAGCCCGGGGCGCACAAAATACTGGGGAAGGAGCTTTCTGCTCAATCTGTCTCAGCAAGTTTGGGGCTGTTATGCTGCACAGGCTTCCTGCTTCCTTTAAAACACTCACAATGAGTACTTTGAAAAACCAGTAAAACACAATTTCATTTTGTAGGTATTTCCAAAATTGACAGAAATGGATTGAATATCCCAGTTAGTTGCACTGATTGCAAAAATGTTCATAACCACTTCATAGACATCGTACTTCCTCCTAAATAAACGGAGATTTGGGATGGACGTGTTGTATCTAAATATTTTAATCCACAAGCATAAAAGATTAATCGCCACAGGCAAACAAGGACTGAGCTGTCAGCCAGACACTTTACTGAAACAGGGCCCCTCCTGGTCCGTCACTGCCCAGCCCCTCCCACGAGAGCAGCAGGTCGAGTCACCTCCCTCACCTGCCAAGGTGCCCCTCCTCTGTGTCGGAAAGGCCTAGCAACACACGTGAGTTCAGATCCAACAGTGTCAGGGCTGTGTGACTCGGGAGTGAGAAATGGGTTTTCAAAACAAGAACCAGATGAGGAAAATCTTCAATCGATGAAAACTTAAGTGACAAAGAGTTCTAGGAAATGAAAACAGTGTAAAAAGCAGCGGAATAAGTTATGAATGGAAGAAGCGCTGGCGCCCACCTCCTCCTGCCTGACGGGCTCTGCTGACGGACAGCTCGCTGCGGCGTCTGCCGCGGCCCCTGTGGGGACGGCATCTGGGGGCCTCGTCCAGTCCCTGAAACAGGCCCGAAACAGGCCTGCTCGTTCCTGTTCCTGAAACAGGCTCATCCTGGTGGACGAGAGTGAGGCAAAGACACTGCAAAAGACGAAGCTGATCTGACCTGAGTGCTTCCCTTCTGCATCCTGGGCCAGAAGCTCAGTGCTGCAGCACTGCTTCGTGGATCCTTCTCTCCGGCTGCTGCGCCCTGGAGCCCTGGAGCCCTGGCCCTGCGGCGCGGCCTGTGGGGGGGCAGGGGAGGAGCCCGCAGTCTCGGTGGCACCCACACCAGGCTGGCATGGGGCTGAGGAGGAGAGCGGGGTCTCGAGGTGGCCCTCAGGAGCGAGAGATCTTGTCAGGAGGCATGAATCCCGTGTCCCCGAGGGTCCTGAGAGCCACTCGGCCATCTGGCCGGACTACCAGGTGGGTAATGCTGCCGTTGTTGAGGGAAAGGCGGAGCCAGCCTTCTGGAGGGAACTGCAGCGCCCTGGAGGAGAGAGCACAGGCTGGGAAGGGGCCCACCCCAGATGACAAGGCCTCAGGGGACTTCCCTGGGGCTGGGGCCAACACCTGCAAGTCCCTCCCATTTTCAAATGGGGTTTCTCAGAGGAAGGAACTGTCGGGTGGATGCCAACCTATCAATCAAACAAGGGGGAGGTAACAGCCCAGCCCCTCTGGGACGGGGGGACCAACCCAACTCAAGGCTTGCACGTGAGTCACAAACACACTAGTTAACAAATGCGTGCAACTGAATTTGTTCTTCCAGTGTCACCAAAAGGGGACGGGGGCAGCCGGAAGGTGCGGCAGGGGCAACCCACAACCCGGGAGCACTTCCATGCTCTTAACGCTTCTTAGGCACAGTTGGTATTTGCTGAAGAGCCCAGCAGGACTATGGCCTCCGTCCGAGCCACCGGACCCCTTTATGCCCCAGGACACTGGGGTGAACAAGTGGCATCCCTGTGGCTCGCCATCAACTGGCACTCCCTCTGTTGAGAGTTTTGCCGACTTGAAGGATTAACTACCTACACGCTGATTTTTCAAGGCTCAGCGTCACCCTCACCGCTTTCAAAACTGCCCTAAGTTAGGGAGCAGAGCGCCCTCACGTGTCCCGGGGGCACAGGCCGCTCCCGGCCCTGACGTCTCCGGCCGGCCCTCAGCACTGGGGTCAGTGCTGTCCCGGGATACGGCAGGACGCGTGTTCACACAGCCCCGAAGTCGCCCTGAGCTGCACATGGGCTCGGGCTGCCCCCGAAGCCCAGCCCCTCCTCCCAGCAGCTCTCAACCCGGCCGGGAACCTGGCGCCGCAGCCTGCTCCCCCGGCGCAGGGCTGCTCGCCTCGGGCCACGCGGGCGGCTTCTGAGGGCAAGCGAACGGGCCCTCGTGAGAAGGGGGACCCCCTCAGCTCCTGAAGCACCTGCGGAGCACCTTCAATGGCCCCAGGGGAGGCTGGGTCCCCACTTGCACTAAGTGGGATGTGGTCAAACACACGAGCACCCAGCTGGCCTTCCCAGGTCCAGGGCCCTCCGTGACTCTGCCTGGGGCTCAGCGCAGGCATCACTGTGAGGGCCCTGGACCTCTGGTGCCAGGACGAAGGGACCTGGTTGCCCCACGGACACAGGAGCCCCGTAGGAGCAGCTGAAGCTGCCAGGGACTAAGGCGCTCACGGGTTATCACCCCGCACAAAACAGATCCGTGGGTCCTTCGTCACATACGTTCCAATTAACAAACAAAGGGACATATGAAACCACTAAGCAAACACCACGCGCAACCACGGGGGCAGGAGCCATCGACAGGTGCTGAAACCAGTTGGGGGACCTCAGGGAAACGGGCGCTCGCGTTGCCTCCTACAAAGTGGGACTTCGCAGCGGGAATGGCAGCGCACAGCGCCTAAACCAAGCGACCACGTCAGCATCGCCCGGGAAAGGCCGCCCACGGGGGGCACCTCAGTCTGGTCTGTTCCCAGCAAAAACATGCAGTCGTGAGAAAGCCGTTCTACCAGACCACCGGCTGGGCCTGGCGGGCACCATCAGACAAGAGGTGGGGGAGCCGCGCTTGGGGCACAGGCCGGCGGGGGAGGGGGGAGGCGGGGCCGTGATGGGGTGGGGCACAGGCGGGGG